GATGGAAGGGTCCCCCGGTCAAAGTATTTGACTATTTATGCAATCTAGATCTAGAATAGAACTATGTATAGACGTACATGTATGGCTATGAGGTATGGGATGTGTTTCAACTCACTATGTGCTTAATACTAAAGAAATGCAATCACATGAAAAACAGGTCTATGGATGTTGGAATATAAGAACACTACAAGATAAGCGTAGGCAGTCCTATTCTCCTGCGCGGACTTGCGATCCCTCCCTCCTACTGCGGCCCCGAGGTCTCCCCGGGACAAAAGATTGGACAGAGTATTACGGTTGGAGACTTCTGTCCCCACTTATACCCCACACAGAGAGCTCGACCCTCATTAAGCCACTCCAATTGGGTGGTGAGTAATTGGTATACAGTGGTGTGAATGGTGGTGGGACTCTCTCCGCTGGGTATAAAAACCCAGGCACATATCTCTGTACACTCTGTATACTTTACATACTTAAAATAGACCTATTAGTGTATTGTGGACATGTGTTGACTTAATGTATTGTCTTCTGTTAGGGCAGGTCACAATCCCCTGAAGAAGCCAAGTTGTGACATACCTAATGTATTGATCTATAATAGATATGTTTAATATGTCAAATAGGTCTATGCTCCTGGTCCAACAGTGTTTTAAATTGTTTGCAACTGTTTGTTGCCTTTTTTATAATATATACTTGTAATATAGGTGATATTTATAATAAAAACATTTCTACCAAACTTCAAGCCACGTTGTTTTATCTCTCGAAAACCCTGGTGTTTCTCTTTGTGTGTTGTAATCCTTTATATTGAAGAGGGAGAGATTACACCTGGGGGACCATTGGGCTAGCCACTCACGACTGTTTTGCAATCTTGTAGTACAGCAGCAGGAGGAAGTGGATGACTTTTTGCTGTCTCGAGCTATCCTTTGAATACTGACTCTATTCGTTTGAGAGAGAGGCAGTAGGGTGTAGAGGATGACTAAAAGGAGAAGGAGGAGGTTTGGTGTGCTGGCAGTAAGAGGGTTGGGATGCTTGTGGTGATAAGATTTGGGGTAGCTTCAAAGGGGGCATTTCACTCCTCCCCAATTCAAGGGGAAAAGTAGGTGGGGATTACTGCCACCATCCACCATAACAAAAAAAGAAAGTCTTAGGTGTATACACCACTTTGTACCTATTCACTCTTCCACAATGCAGAGGGAAGGATGGCAGCAGTGAATGGAGAGGGGGAATTCTATGGTGGGGAAGGGCAGACAACAATGAAAATTATGTGTACATTCTTATGACCAAAGGCTGCCAGCTCGTTCCCAAATCTTCCTTCAATATTTTCAAACATATCAGGGAGACAGTGTGGCAGGGGTGAATGGTGCAGAAGGTAATGAAGTGGCAGAAAAAATCCAAGCACTTTCATTAGGTCATGTTTGAAAAGGTGAGAAACCAGGCAGCTTGCATATAAAAAAAGCATTAAAATGTATTTTGCGGAAAAAAGCCAGCAAAAAATGTACTTACTTCATGCACAGTATTTAATCACTTTTACCAGGCTGCATTTTGACTTCACTAAATTGTAGATCCTCAAATAATTTGTGCCGACACTGTCCTTCCTTCTGAAAGGTGGCTACTTTTGTTTCCCATGGTTCATGTGAGTTGTAAAGTAGCCACCCCTTCAAGCTCGCTCCCGATATGGGTTACAATCTCATGTTTAGATGATTTGAGGCTCTACAGCTGATTGATACACAAATAAGCTATATTTTTAAGAAAACTCCCAAAATAAATCTAAATCCAGACAGTGGGAAGTAGACTTGTGTGCCGTCAAAAAATTAGTTCCGTTTCGTTTCGTTCCGTAATATCCATTATTTCGTATTTCGTAATTATTATCCGAAACTCAATTCGGATTCGTACAAAATACGTATTTTCGTTAGTTTCGGCACATTTTCGTAACTTTACGAACATTCCTTATGATGAAGTTAAAAAGCAAAAATACCTTTGTTAATATTGGAGTCGATGTGGTAGTTGTTTTTTTACCAGAAATACAAATTCCGTTAACGGATTCCGTATCCGAATTCCGTATTTCGGCCTTTAAAAAAAACTACCATCAACTCCAATATAAATGTACTTTGCTTTTTACCTTCAATATAACGAATGTTCGTAATGGAACGAAAATACGTCAACGGAATTTCGTATTTCCTGCCTGTATTTGTAATGCAACTCTCAGCAGCAGCGGATCCGTATTTCGGATTAAAAAAAAATCTTGTCATGTTGTTCAACCTAATTTACAGGGATAATATTAGTTCCTGTTTCAAAGAAATTCGGATCCGAAATTCGTTAACGGAATTTCGTATTTCGGATATAAATTCGGAAAATGCCGTTCGGATTTCGTATGCTTACGAATCTACGAATTTCAGGAAAATTCGTACGAATTTCGATTCGTAACGAAACGAATCGCACATGTCTAGTGGGAAGTAGATATAATGAAAACAGTGGAGGAGGGAGAAGTAGCTTATGTAGTGTACCCCAGCACAGAACATCAGAACATGTGGGATGCTTGTCTCCTGTCTTTGAAAAAAAGCATACAATATATGTTTTTTTTTTATCCAAGACTTACTTGGAAGTGATGAAGAGAACACTGGACACACTTTAGCTATGATAGCAAAAGCTCAGGTAAGGTCCATATCCCTATTGGATCTCATACCGGGCATTTAATTACTGATACACCCTCCATAGCTCAAGAATTTGAACCATACTCATCAAACTGATGATTCTAAAGGTGCCCATAAACCTTACAATTATCTGCAGATTTCCTGTGGTCAGATGAAAAAAGTGCAACAGATTGGCCCAGGTGGAGACTAGTCCATCCACACAGTTAAGTGTAGATGGAGGAATCTGTTGCACCTTTTCCATCTGACCACAGAAAATCTGCAGATAATTGTAAGGTGTATGGCCAGCTTTAGACTACCCTTGATGAAGAGGCCCTGCCTCATTTACTACAGCATGCCTCTATGCTGCGATTGTCAGAAGCATGCAGAAATATCCTGAATGCACCTATCACATTACAGGAGTTGTGGAGGGCAGTAGCAGATTCTCCTACTAATAAGGCACTAGGAAATGATGGCCTTTCCACATAGATATATAAATTGTATAGGGACTTTATTCACCCATAACTAAACGCACTCCAAGAGGAAAATTCTCAATGGGCATTGCCCATATCTGTGAAAGAAGCTACCATTATAATTTTCATCAAACCAAGTAAAAATTCAGTGTTAGTGGAATCAAAATAACCAACCTCACTACTGACATCTGACCTAAACTGTTGGCCTGGGTGCTGGGTAATCACTTGTCCAGGGTTATCCATAAGCTGGTACATGTAGATCAATCTGGTTTCATACACATCTGCCACAATTAATATTCCCGATTATACCTACATTTACAAACCCTTACAGAGAACCATGGTAACAGTGGTGGTGTGGTAAGTGGTGTCTTTAGATGGTGCTAAGGCATTCAATAGTGTTGAGTAGCAGTATCTCATGTGATCTCTACAACTTTGTTGTTTGGGTTTATAACATAGATCCAACTGTTGTAATCTAACCCATCTGCCAGTGTTAGGGTGAAAAATGTGCTGTGGGATGCATTTGTGCTGAAAAGAGACACTCTGCAGGGGTGTCTCTCACTCTCAAACTGTTGGTACCAATCCATACGTGCACCAAAAAACATATATATATAT